GGCGGGAATGAGGAGCGGCGGGAATGAGGAGCGGCGGGAATGAGGAGCGGCGGGAATGAGGAGCAGCAGCCCCCGCTCCCGGGCCGTCCCCGCTCAAACTGGGCGCCAAACCAGCGCCGCGTCCCATTGGTCCGCGCCTCACGGCACGCTGGCCAATGGAAACGCGACAGCCTCTCTGCCGCTGCGCCGACTGCCCAACCCATTCCGGGTGTCCACCAATGGGATTGGAGGGGGGCGGCGGCGATGCGCGCGGCCAGCCAATCCCGAGAGGGCCTCAGCCGGAAGTACCGTTCCCAGTTTTTGTAGCCGCGTCCGCCATCTTTGCGTCGGGTGAGGTGTTTGTTCTGCCACTAAAGCGAGCCCGACCAAGGGGCGATGGGGCCGCAACAACTCCCGGTGACTCAGAGAGGGCCTGGCGGGCATGAGAGCCCCGTGCGATGCCGCCTCTGAGGTGCGGGATCCCGCCTTCCGCCCTCACAGGCCATGGCGGCGCGGGCGGCGCGGGGCATGCCGGGAGGGGCGGGGCGGTCCCGCCCAGCCCGTGAGGTGGAGCAGCGGCCCCGGCCCGGCCCGACCCGGCGGCCCGAGGGAGCCCCGGCGCCGGCACCGCCGCCATGGTGAGCCCGGGGCACAGGGCACGGCCGCCGCGCTGCGGCAGCGCTCGGGGGGGCTGTGCCGCCGATTAACGCCTCCTTCTCTTTGTGTTGTTTTCTCCGCTCTAGTTCTCGTTTAACATGTTCGACCACCCCATCCCCCGCGTGTTCCAGAACCGCTTCTCCACCCAGTACCGCTGCTTCTCGGTGTCCATGCTGGCCGGGCCTAATGACAGGTCAGATGTGGAGAAAGGCGGGAAGAGTATGTGCATGTTTTATTTTGACTAATAAACCTGTTGGAAGGGTGTTTGTGAATGTTGTCGAGTAACGCAGCTTTTGGCCGAGACTGCAGAGACGTTGAACGGCAGGAGACAGCTGACCACCCTGGGTGGGGCCCTGAGGAAGGAGGAGGCGTCATCTTCCATTGCCTTACTCTGTAATTAAAAAACTTACCGAGTGAGTCTGGGTTTAGGAACGTTAGAGTAAGACAGTCTTATTTTTTGAAGTCTCTTGTTACGATCTTGGATCTAGTATAAGCCATGGAAGTTTGCGACTAAGAGCTTCTCCCTCCACCCTATTTTTGTACCTCACTTAACTTGAACAAAGAATAATAGATTGGCTAACTTCATTTTCAAGCTGTCAGATCAATGCTGTGTTGTTTTGAGTTGGTGTCATTAAAGAGCACCTGTGAGCCCAAACAAGTAAAATTAGCTGTAGAAAATATTTGTCTTAGCACTAGGTATTGTAAAACTTTGTGTCCTCTCTTTTCTTTTCTGATTAAATTCTGAATTACTATTAGCAAGTACATTTAGCATGACTGTTTCTACTGAAATCTCTGGCTGAAAATGAATTTTCAGGAGATTTTTTCTTTAGAGGAGACTAGAGAAAGGAATGGTAAAGTTGTATGTTATGTACTCTTGTACAGATGTGCTTTTCCTAATCTTCCATTTCTGTTCATCCCTGCAGTAATTATGCCACCGTCGGCTTTGGATCAACTCAGTAAGTGAATACTTTATTCTGGAACAGTAACATTAGAAATATGAGCAAAGGTGTAGGCAAATGCCACAGTGTTTTAGCTGTCTCTTGAAACCTGACTTAAATAGAGAATAGACCAATTAGTTAAAAAATGTATTCTGAAGGTGTTTTTCCTGTCAGAATTAATGGGGCTTGTCTGTCTTCAAGTACAGACATCCGAAGCGTTGGGCTACCTGAGGTGTGAAGCAATATTTATTAACTATTAATAGTGCACTCAGAATAATGGTTACAATTAATCTTGTAAATTCTTAATCTCAACCAGGTTATCCTGGATAATGTTGTCTGCAGCAAAATTTATTTTAAAAACAAAATAAGTGAGAATTAACTTTGAATTGGGGAAAAGATAATCAAATCAACAACATAAAGGGTCTTTTTTTTTACCTTTTTAACTAAGGGGGTTTTTTTCCCCCCTCGGAGAAATAGAGTCTTAATTTAGTCTTAGTAGAATTTCTTTGAGAAATTACTTTAGTCATTTAATTTTAGAGTGGGCAGGACCTGTTAGAAGTCATTCGGTAGCTGCTGAGCAATAAGAGCACAAGGACATAACAGTAATAGATTCCTCTCTCGTTCCTGCTGCCTGCTCATGTCTGAGCTTGGGGAAAGGCTGGGGGAGGATTTAAAGCTCCAGGTGTGATGCCACCACAGTATTTGGGTATCTGCTTTCTCTCCTGGATTTGTAGTTTGGAGGTTGGGATAATGGTGGGAGGGGAATCCTCTCCTGCAGTCTGGCCCGTTCTCTTGGTGATGTTTGAAAGCTTCAGCAATGTGTTGGTGGCTTTTGACCAACAGAGTTTTCCTCCCCTGTCTCGCAGGCCGCCTGAACATCACGTACCCCATGCTGTTCAAGCTGACCAACAAGAACTCGGACCGCATGACGCACTGCGGCGTGCTCGAGTTCGTGGCTGACGAGGGCATTTGTTACCTGCCACACTGGGTGAGCTGCTCCTGCTGCTCTGACACAACCTCAGCAGCAGCATTCGCAGCTTGCCAGTTTAATAGTAAAGAAGTGCAGTGTTTCCTGGATGGGTCATGTTCCAACAGCTTTCAGTCCCAGCTCAGGTTTCCCTCCTTGAGGGGTTAACTAAGCAAAGCAGCCTGTGTTTAAGGTGCACCTGGCTGTTATTCCTGAAGTGAAACCGGGGTAAACAGGTGCATGTCAAGGAAGATGGCGGCCCCAGCAAAACTAGATATGCACAAAGAAAGAGATTTGAAAACATCAGACATACTGACAGTGGTTTGTATCTTTGTTTCCATTCTTGCAGATGATGCAGAACTTGCTGCTGGAAGAGGGAGGCCTGGTGCAAGTGGAGAGTGTTAATCTGCAGGTTGCTACATACTCAAAATTTCAGCCACAGAGTCCAGATTTTCTTGACATCACCAATCCCAAAGCTGTGTATCCTTCCTATTCGATGATGGAAAAAGATTTTTCTCCCAAATTGGAACAATCAGGCAGAGCTAACTTTCAGGTGGGGCTCATACTGGTAGTAGGTGACTACTGCTACTCCTGAAAACAAAGGAATGGAGAGCTGTTGTACAGAGATGTGGCCAGCTGCTGGCACAAAGTGTGGCCTGGAGTGAAGCAGCAGGAATCTTGGCTTAAAAGTCCAATGAAGTTTGGGTGTCCCTTTGAAGAACTCATGCACCCTAATGTTTATCAAAAGGCTACCTCTGGTGTGCTGATGATTTTTAAACCATGTTTGAGAATCAGAGGTCTATAGTACAGTAACTTTAAAGCTTTGATGTTGCCTTGAATACAAGTGTTTCATCTTAACCTGCTCTGAAGATTAGAAAATGCACTGAGAAACTTCGCCTGTCTGACGACTGGGGATGTTATTGCCATCAACTACAATGAAAAGGTACAGTAGAGGGTTGAGGGTTGTGGACTAAGTTCAGCTGTTGGATGTTGGTGCTAAAACAGTCAACCCAGAGCTGTGCAGTGTTGTTGACAAGTAATTCCAAATGGGAGATTTCACAGCGGGTTTTCTGTTGGAGGGGAAAAGGGGTCATTTAAGCCTTTCCCTGCACTGCTGTTTAAACTTTCTTTTGACTCACAAGAAAATAAGCCTTTGCACTGTTAAAGTTTTTACAAGCCAAGGGACAGAATTTATCCTAATTTGTTTTCAGAAGTGCAGATTAAAGTACAGTAAGAGTGCAGCAAGGTACAGTAATAGGTAGGTTCTCTCGGTTCTGAGTTAAAACCCTTTGCTCTTAAGTTCTGTAGAGACCCTGCAGTATCCAGTCCTCAGCCTAGAGCACTTACTGCAGTTTTCTTGAAGCTGTTTGAAGGGAAGGGCTTATATGTTCTTTCTTATACATAAAGTTGAGCTTTTTCATGTGCAGTGCTAAAATACCCATTCCTGTTTCAGATCTACGAGCTCCGGGTGATGGAGACCAAACCGGATAAGGCCGTGTCCATCATCGAGTGTGACATGAATGTAAGTGACAGCTGATGGGGAAGGTCTGCCCTGACTGTGTCCTCCCTGGGGCAGGGATAGTGCTGTACATCCAGCACCTCTGTGCTGCAAAACAGGTACAAGCAGATGGGTGGGGCCGGTGACTCATTTGAGAGGACTCCACGTGCCTTTGTAACCACATCCGTGGTCTAGGGTGGCACTTCATGTACCATCAGGTGACCAGTGCCTCGAATTTCATGGTTAGCTTCAATGTGTTTTATCTGGGGTTTATTTAATAGCCTTGTCTTGACTCAAACTCCAGTGATACTGTGGTGCTGCTTTACTGCTCTGTTTCAGTTACATGCTAAGGCTCATTCCTGGGAGGCTTAGTCTTTTTTTAGTTTTGAGTTAAAATGTTCAACAAACAAACCTCAGTTCTTTTTAGATCAAATGTAGTTATGATACATAACTTGTTGTGGAGTTTGGAGGAATAGTAGTATAAAGCTTATGATTAAAAGAAAAATATTAACCACATTTATTTTCATGCTTTTTGTGTAAATAGGTGGATTTTGATGCTCCTTTGGGGTACAAAGAACCAGAAAGAAGTGCACAACACGAAGAGAGCACAGTAGGTTAAGCTTCTGTTCTTCCAAAATGTATTCCCTAGAAGTCAGCATTGCTTGTGGGGAAGCAGTGAGCCCCAACATAATTTTCTTTTCCTGAAACAAGTTCTTAAGGTTAAAATTGACTTACCAGGAGCTTTTGCATGTGTTACTTAGGAGATGGTTGTTTACCAACTGTTGGTTTTGGAAAGGGATTGTTCTGAAGTTTTGTTTGGTCAGAAGTATGTGGGACTGTTTCCACATGTTTATGTACAACATGAGCACAATGAACTCTGTTGTTTTTTCCCTCCCAGGATGTGGAAGCAGACCATAGTGGATATGTGAGTGACATAGGATTTCGTGTAAGTCCCCTATTTCTGCTGGTTTCTGAATGTTGTAGAATGGCGAGGGAAAGTTGTTTCAAACAGCTGCAGAATACTAATATCTGTCCTTGGAGGCGATTGTCATTTAACTAGTGAGTACCTGCAAGTGTTTTATGGTGATTGCAACCAGGAACTGGATGACTTGCTGTCTGTAAAGGGCAGTCTGTAAATGGGAGGCTGAAACATACCCCTGCACCCAGGGCCCATCAGCTTATATGTACCAAAAAGAAACATGCTGAATCAAAGAACTAAATAAAAATGACTGTGAGATTGTACAGAATATAGTGTCCCTGTGCACTGAACTTTCAAATATGAGAAGTTAAATGAAAACTCATTATGTATCCATAGGCATTCTCTGGTTCTGGGAACAGACTGGATGGCAAGAAGAAAGGTGTGGAGCCTAGTCCCTCACCAATTAAACCAGGAGACATCCGAAGGTGTGTTTCATTCACTTGTCAGCAAGTGAAGAATCAGTGTTTGAGTAGAGTTTTAGGTTTTTTTCCTGCTCTTGCAATATAAACAAACTAATTTCATCATAAACTTGCCTTTAGAAAATAAATGGTCTTATCCACAGGCTCCAAGGAAACATGATCCTGGCCAAGCTTCCACAGCAACTCCAGTATTTGGTTATTTACCTCATGCAATGTATGAACCTTCAGAAAATAATTCAGTGGTTTAACTCTGGAATTATTTAGTAATGGAAATATGCAGTGAGTGTTGGTACAACACTGGCAGACATGGAACAGGTCTTGCTGTGTTCAATTCCATGGTAGGTATAAAACTTCTTTCATAATATTTTTATGCTTCTTTTCCAGAGGAATTCCCAACTATGACTTCAAGATTGGTAGGATCACATTCATTAGAAACTCACGTCCACTGGTTAAGAAAGTCGAAGAGGTAAATATATAAAGTTGAGTGCTCCTAGTCTTGCACAGAATTAGAACATTAGAACTACGGCCCAAGTTTGTGGTTCCTCTCCCCATACTTGATTTTCACAGCATGCTTCTGTTAAAAAGTTGTAGCAGTTAACTGGTGTGAGTAAAGTGAAAGCAACCTCTGGTGTCCTTGTTACTGATGTAAAAAGATGGGCCTGGTGTGTAATGAGCCAGTACACCCTCATTTCAGGTGGCTGCAAGGCCACCGAAGTACTCCTATGTTATTTTCAGGAAGAAAAAAAGTATTAATGTCTAGATTAAGAATGGGAAATGTCTGCAGTCAGTGGCTGCTCTGATGGAATGTTCTTGCTAATGATCGTTCAGCTTTCATCACACACAAGCACTGAGCAAAGAGGTAACAACCTTTTTTCCCTCTTTCCTTTCTCCAGGATGAATCTGGAAGCCGGTTTATTGCCTTTTCAGGAGAAGGCCAGTCCCTGCGCAAAAAGGGAAGGAAGCCCTAGGCTGTGGTACCTTCAGTTAGTTAGGAGGAAAATAAAGTAACAGTTGCAGCATATTGGATCTTAGTTATTACAGTTGAGAGGAGAGATGGTTTTGCAACATAGGAACCCTCTTACTGGTTTTGGTTTCATGTTTAAAACTGGAGCTGTCAGATCGTCTTAATTTTCAGTTGAAAATTGAGTCCTGGGAATCTGGAAGGAGCTTTCTGTATGTGTTGTAAAGAGGTGAACGTAGATCTCTGATCAACTTGAGAAGTAAAACTAACAAGCTCTTACTTACTAAAGATCCAGTTCTTAGACTACATCCTCCTCTCCTATCCTGAGTGATGATGGTCTCATGTCACTCTTTGCTTGGTATTTTCCTCCCTCTATATATAATTTTGCCACAATTTCAGATAAGCTTTTTTGGTGTGGTGCAGGTAAAGGCTGACACTTTGGTGTTTAGGACTTTTGTGCAGGGAGTCTCCTTGAGCTTTAGCTTCAGGTGTTGGGTTCTCAACCATTTTAAGCAAACCCCCTGTAAGTGCTTTTTATATTTATAATTATTAACATGCCTTTTAATAGTTCAGATACTATAACGTAGCAATCTAATGGCAGGTGTAGGGAGAGGCAAGACCCAGCTGCGCTGCCCTGCTTTGGAACGGCCGTGTGGGTGTCACCCGAGGGTACGCGGGGGCAACCTCTGCGCTGTGCTGAAAGTAAAGGCCCCTGGTAACCAGCCGCGTCCCCGTGTGGTGATTTCGGACGGAGCGAAGCGGGGCCTCCTTCCCGCCGCGTCCCGGCTCGCTCTGAGGGGCCGCTGCTCGCGCGCCGCCCGCCGGGCGGCCATTGGCTCGCCGGCCTGGGGCCGCTTTGTGCCGCCCCTCGCCATTGGCCGCGCCCTCGCGTGTCGCCGTAAGCGCGGCGGCCATTGGCGGAGGCGCGGCATGGCGGACGCGGGCGGCTCGTGGCGGGTGAGGGGGCGCGGGGCCGGGTGAGGGGCGCGGGGCTCGGCTCGGCTCCGCTCCGCTCAGCCCGGCCCTGTGTCCGCCCGCAGCCGCCGCGGCCGTGCGAGGACTACTGGGGGGAGTGGAAGCACTGCCGCGGGCTGCGCCACGCCTTCCACCACTACTACGCGCACGGGGAGCTGCCGGCCTGCGGGCGCTGGCGGGAGGACTACGAGGCCTGCCGGGCCTGGGAGCGGCACCGCGCCGCCGCCGCGCAGGTACCGCCCGGGGCTGCTGCGGCTGCGGGGAGGGCTTGGGAAAGCGGGTGCGTAGGATTGTCTCGACATCCGCTTAAGGATCCAGGGAGCATTTTCAGTGTTCTGCTGCAAAGCCCTTGATTTCAGTTACTGTGACATTCCCTTCCTGATAGGAAAAGCTGCGACGTTACAGGCAAAACGTGTGCCTGCGGTGTCCAGAAACGCCTCTGGCTACAGCCCCACGGACGCTGGAGGACTCGGGCCCTGCAGCAAAGGCTACAGCGTAACTCGTCCCTGCAGCCGGGCGGGAAAGCCCTTGGCGGGGAGGGTTGCACAGAACTGGTAGTTCTCTTCGTAATGCAGGAGGCACAGGCAAAATATGACTTAGTTAAAAACCTGTATCCTGGCTTACTTAGATAGCATTTGGCACTTCTGTTTAAGCATGATAAATTTCTTCTTTTATCTCAGATAGTCACAACAGGAAATGGGCTCTGTAGGACTGGAATATCCAACACGATCATGGTAATATTTTTCCTCTGTTTCAGGAAGCTTTGTGCAAGAGTGAAAGAGCTCGAGTGATGGAAAGCCAGAAGTATGCTCCGGTGTGGACACTGAGGAAGAGCCCCCCACCAGACTGGTATCTACCCCTTGACCAGGACAAACCAAATTAGGAAGATTGTTTGCTGTGTTTGGTCATAACTTAATACACAATTCAGAACTGTGCTGCCTTTTTTTTTCTTCTGTGTCATCTTGAAGTTATACAGCTGTAGCTGTGCCCTGCCATACTTGAGCACTCTTTCAAAAGTACTGAGAGTTTATTTAAACGCTGAGTATTTTTTAAAGGGAGAGCTGAGGTGCTTAATTTGTGTCCGGTCTTGTATTGCTATCTTACACTTTAGGATTTTGTCTCAGCAGCTCAGCAGGCAACTCCCAAATTAATGCACACATGATCCAGCTCCTCTTGCTAGATCAGGGCCTCTTCCCCTACCAGCTGGTGGTGTGCACTTTTGGAACAAGGTACCAACCCCAGGCCTGCAAATAGGAAAAAACAAGCTGGGAATCCTCCCACCAGTTCAGGACAATCCCAACCACTGGCATTTAAAAGGCATTTCCCAGAACAGGATTGTTGTGGGTTAAGAGCTTCTCACCTGATGGGGAGGTGCTGCAGCCCCTGAAACTGCCCCTTTATGGAACTACTCTTGAATGATGGTGTGTGTTGTGCTAGTATTCAAAAGTACTACAAAAATAAAGGTTTAAACAAATGTAGAGAGAGATCTGGTTTGGTTTAGGGCAAACCCATGGAACCTTGGTTACACGAGTTATGTGGCAATATAATAAAATAAAAAAACCCTGGCTTTGTCACTGGGTAAGGTTGTGTAGCTTGGCTGGGTGTCTTACTACCTGGATAATTCCTAAAAACATCCAAACACACAGATACTTCCCTAATGTTTTATTTACAGTCACACACCTGCAGCGTTGTAAGCTGCAGAAGAATTGTGTGTTCTTTCTCCCTTCAGTCCTTCCTTCAGTTGCTGAGCAGCTCCTCCCTCACTGTGTGTACACCTTGGTGATGTCAACGCACTTTCCCTCGGGTGGGTCATAGCCAGGAAGGGGGGGGGTGTAGGTGGGTCCATCCCTCTGGAAGGGGAGCAGCCCCTCATCCCGGCGGATGGCTGCCTGGTACAGCTCCTCGGATTCCAGGCGCAGTTCCTTTAGTGCCTCTTGCTGAGACTCCACAAGGCGCTGAATTCCTTTCTTTTCTGCCTCATCTTGCTTCTGCTTAAACAAACACCACTTCTTCAGAAGTAAAACTCTTCTCTCAGTCTCTTCAGGAGACAGAGCAGGAAGGCTTCGCACCCTGGCAAAGAGTGGGGTAACATTGTGAGAGACAAACAGCCTGACTTCAAAGACCAAATCAAAAAAATCAAACCACTAAAACAACAACAGCAACAGAACCACCAAACCCAGAGAATACATTTAATTTACTAATAATTTAGTCTGTCTGCAAGGACACCCCAGTCATTCTAACAGGAAATTCATGTTACTGTTTTTTCACTACTTTTAGCAAGAACAAATAAAATTTCCTTTTCATGTTTTTGTCCTTATGGAAGTGGATAAGGTTTTGTGCTAAGGCTGGCTGCAGTTGTGCAGAGAAGGAAACTCACTATGAATGCAGGCATGTGGTAAAACCAGAGCCACTGACCTGTTGCTGTCTGAGTACTTGAGTGGGGTTATAAAATCCTCAATGGGAATCAGTTCTGGGGCAGCTTTTTCCAACTTCTTAAGCTTCTTTTTCATACGATCCTTCTGTGCTTGCTCTCTCCTCACATCCACTTTCTTCTTCTTCTTTGGTTGTGCTCTACAAGGGAAATAGTAAAAAATATTTTGTCCTTTGATTCAACACCAGCAACTTTCACTTTAGTTTTCCAAGGACTGTTCCTTCCCATTGCTTAATTTAGTCCCTAATAAAAGTTCCAGCCATGAACTTTATTCAAGTAGTGGAATTTCCACGAGACAGTGACGTTCCAAGCCCCTGCCATGGGCAGGGATGCCTTCCACTAGACCAGGTTGATCCAAACCCCATCCAGCCTGGCCTTGGACAAATGTTCCTGTCATTTCACATTAAAGCAGAGAGTGAGTGGTTTTAAAATGCTTCTAAAATTTCCACATTTGGAGCCAAATTCAGGCTGCAGATGTTACTCTCCTGTTGTACTTCTCCATGCAAATCCTGTACACCCAAGATACCATGGCACACTCCACAAACTGACCCTCACAGAGCACATGAGGGTGTCATTCCTGCCTTGCAGACTGAACAACCAACCTTTATGGTGTGAAACAGCCCCTCTCTGAGGGTAGCTAACAGCTGCCTAACAGGTACTTTAAGTCTAGTGCATCAAAACAAAACATGGACACCAAAATGACACGAAGGTGGGCTGCCTTTGCCTTCACAGCAATGCACTGCTGCTTCAGCCAGGCTTTCACTGCCAGCAGGGAAATCTGGAGCACTGCATAAATCCCACATTTCCAGCTGCTGAGGAAGCAAATGCTACATATGAGCACAGAGTGATAATCATGTCACCACTGAACTCCCCTCAAGAGGCCAACAGTCCTTAACTGCTTTGGCATATGGAGATTTAAACGTGCACAGGTAAAGGTTAATTTGGACTTGGGAAGATTTGTGTTCCCCGTGGATGAGAACACTGCTCTGTAACTCCAAGGCAGCTGCACTCACCTCACAGGGAGGGATGTCCTGAGGGTCAGCACAGAGCTCTGCCAGTGACTCCCTCGGAGCAGGCCCCTCTGGGGCAGCCAGGAGCTGCAGGAGGAACAGGAACATAAAGCATGAGGAGAAACCGACTCTAGTGGCACAAGAGCTACTTGTTAGTCAGGAGTGAGTGATGAGTTTTGAACCATCTCAACTCCGGGCAGGATCCAGCGTTTGCCCAGAAATGACCTCGAACTCTCCAGCAAGGTCACTGACCCCAAACCCAGGCTGGTCGGTGTTGTGCGCCCACAGGATACCGAGGAGCAAAACACAGACTTTTTTTTAGATAGGTTACAGTAATTTTAAGCTCTGACAATGGCTCGATGAAGGTGTTGGTCTGGGAGAGACAAAAGCACCGCCGTTCAGATTAGGAGGGATGTTACTCAGATCTCAGCAGTGTTATGGGAGGGCGAACCAGGTGCCCGCGCACCGGCTCCTCCTGGTGCGGGAGGCCGGGGCAGGCCCGGCCCGCCGAGGGACCCCGGGCGGGGAGCAGCCCTGAGGCGCGGCTGGAGCGGGCTCGGCAGGCGCCGCAGGCACGGGGCACTGCCCGGGCTCCCTCCCCGCGGCCCCGGGGGCGGTGCCGGG